AGGAGAGCTCTATACATGACTACAATAACATAAATGAAGACAACACTAAAAAACAGTAGAATTTAGAGTAAATGATCAATATCGGTTCCAGATGACTGATGATGGAACCAATAACCACTGTCTTAGTAGAGAGGAGGCAGACCATGAGTGCAAATGTTACATACTTTGTCAGTGGTGGTCCCTATAATTTACTTAACTGTTTTGTTCATGTTATAAATGTAAGTGATGGGATAATTAGGAATTGAATTGTTACAAAAATCAATGGAATCCCAAAGTGGCAATTTTGAAATAGTCAAATTTGAGATATTTCTTTTCTCTGTATTTATATAAATTCAAAATAGATAGAAAATACATTAGAATGCTGAGAATCTGTTGGTCTTTTTTTTTATATTATCCTAGATGATTTATTCTACCAAAGTGAAGAAATTTTATCTAGTGAAAAAAGGCCTGATTCAATACTTACTATGGATTCAATTTTACCTTCAGATTTCCTACTGTCATCAAATCACCGGTAAATCTATTTCCTAGAACCCTAATCCTACCCATCTGAAAAAATGAATATTTAGCATACCCCACAGAAATGTTGTGCTTTGTTACTTGAGAGTCATTTGTATATTACTAATGAGTCCTAGCAAAGTGATATTTTTGTAATTTAAACAGACAAATGCTGAGGAAGGCTATATAAAACCCTTCTTAGCAAAGCAACTAAACAAGAAAAAGTAGAAAAGTAACAAATTATAACATTTAACTTAATATAAGGTCATTTGCTCCGTTCCTCCCCCTACACCCCAAAGCTAAATTGTATGAAACCTGAGTACTTTCTATAATTGGAATTTTTTTCAGGGTGTACAATTTTTTTTCAAGTACCATTAATAACAAAAGCTGACCTTTATATAGTACTTTAAGGTTTGCAAAGCACTTGACATTAACAATAATCCTGTAAGGTAGATGCTATTATCATACTGATTTTTATAGATGAAAATCCATTTTAGGAGTATGGCCTATATTAAAGAATAGCATAAAATCAAGTGTGCACATGCTCACACAGACATGAGGAAGAATAAATATCTATGGTGGACTTTAGCATGTATTCAGGAACATGAACAATATGTTGCCAACATTACATTATTGATATTCTGAATATTTCATAGTCTAACACATTAATTATATGTTTCGGTAATGTTCACTCTATAGGTAGATAATAATAATAATAATAGCTAACATTTCTGCAGTGCTTTAAAGTTTGCAAAGCACTTTACATCTAGTGCCTCATTTCCTCGTTACAACAAGTCTGAGAAATAAATGTTACCATTATCTCCATTTTACAAATGAGGACACTGAAGCTGAGAGATAAGTTTCTTGCCCAGATTCAGACACCAGTAAGTGTCTGAGGTAGTGGTCAAATTCAGGCCTTCCTCACTATAACTCCAGCACTCTGCCACCTACCTGTACATGAAAAATAAAAATTTACTTTCATTTGTTTTTATTCACATAAACACACATGTAGCTGATTAATGTGGTGCTTGTCTCTCACACTGAAGGCAAAAACACCATGGTTTTTTGCCTTAACTTTTGTTCTTTCATTTTAGGTGAAGGAGATTGGAGGCTATGAGTTTTCATGGTTCAGGAGAGCAAGCTACCCTGGGCCTAGGAGTATAATCCATTTTGGTTTTTTTGACTAGTCTAGAACCGAGGATCAAGGAACAACCTTCAGGACCCCAGATCATTGGTAGTTGAGACAAGAGCTCAGCCAGCAGCAATGTTGTATTAAGACGTGCATAAGGTGGGATGAATGCCTTGTAGAAACTGTGATATTAGCCCAAAGACTAAGACCCATAGGAGAGAGTGTGTGTGCCCTTGAAGTATTGGGAGAGGGAATTATTGCTGTGTCTTTGAAGTATGTGTGTGTGTGTTGTCCCTTTGTAAAAGCTAATTGATGGAAATTGGTTAAATGGAACTAGGGTACAAGTCACTAGAGATTAACATTGGGAAGAACCACACCAAAAATCAGGGCTTGAACCAATGGCATTAAGTAAGAAACACATTAAACCCTCAAGGGTATCACTAGAATAGTGAGAGAAAGATATAGCCAGTGTCATGCAGAGAGAGTAAGAGCAAAGTACTTGCTAAAATTATATAATACAAATTCAGAAATAGGTAGATAAAACATTAACAGTACATCACATATTTTTAGCATCATTCACCTTTCCCTATCCATCCTCTAGTCACCCTCTATAAATAATAACTTGGATCCTGGATAAATGTCTGTTAGGATTGGCAATGGACCTGTATAGGGAAATTGCTGTGGAGGAAAGGCTCTCTACCAATATGGCAGCTACTTATTGTCTTAGAGTGTTGCCTAGAACATGAAGAGGTTAACTTACCTGCCCAAGGCCAGGCCAGCATTATATGTCAGAAGCAGGACTTGAATCCTATCCTTCCTAACTCTAAGGCTGATTCTATTTCCTACCCTACATTGTCAATAAGTTGTCTTACTTTGCATCCTAACTCTATGGTTAACCAATAGGAAGAAGCAGATAGAAAAAAGTAAATGCTTTTTGTGACTGTCACTACAGGGATATTTTAACTTTTAGAAAGGAGTTGTGGCAAGGGTCTTTCACTTCTCACTTGTGCTGGACTGGAGGGATTTGTTCCATTGATTGCACTATTTGGGTGATAAATTTTCCAACAAGGTGCCACAGTAGTGCTGGGGACAATATGGAAGCAAAGGAACAGTCCATTTTTATTACTTGTGCCCTGTGCAACTGTCCAAGGTGGAATGATGGCTATATTAGACATTTTAAAGTTGAAAGGCCTAAGCACTATCCAGTGTCTTCTTGACTAAAATGAAGTTAGGACTGAGCATGAAGAACTCTAGCCTGGGATAGAACTAAGCTATCCCTTAACTCCATTACCTGACTGAGCAGAAGACCACATCACAACACTGAGGTTAGCAACACTTGGAGCTGCAGGGATCTATGTTCATAGGATCCTAGAATCATAGTTTAGGAGCTGGAAGTAATTAGTTTTCACGTGTCCCACCTCTTCTGGAGCTTTTTTTAAAAAAGTCTTATTATGATGATGTGAAAGGCAGCCATGATGTAGATAGAGAACCCACTTCGGAGTCAGGAAAAGCTGGATTTCAGGCTCTGTGGCCCTGGGCATGTCATTTAACGTCTAGTTACCTCCAGGCAATTTTCTAAGCCTATAAATTGCAGTGCAGGTATTAATCTGAATTGGTAGAGGGAATTTCTTTCCTGGGAGTTCTGTATATCTATGAAATCACAAGTTCAGTCAAAAAAAAAGCATCATCATCTCTATCATAATCAATTAGCATTTAGTGCTTTTAAGTGCTATTAGGTTTTTGAACCATTGTGAACACTTGAAATAGAAAATGATAGCTACAGAAATATACCTAATATAGCTTCGATCTCCCATTTGCTGACCTGACAAGCATTTGGTGCATCACTGCAAAAGTGTTCTTCAATTTTGGTACCTATAAATATTTTAATTTATGCAGAAATTATTTTGATTGCAAAATAGAGATATTTATAGATGACATTTTCCAGTTTTCTTCTTTTTTTAATCTCTCTGAGGGCTGTTTGGAATTTATATCTGTCTAAGGGCTCTCTTTTCAAAGTGAGAACTTCCCCATAGCACCTAGGAGGTAAAACAATTACAAAACGTCGGCGTCCCCGAGTGCAGTGTTCCCTGGGAATACAACGTCATAATGGTGTGTGCACAGCACTTCCTTAGATTACAGACTGGTTAGGTTAGACGCTTGAGTATCAGTCTTCTTAGGCTAGTACTGATTAACTGCAACATGTGCTCATGTGTCAAAAGAAGATGTCTGCCATCCTGAAAGCAGTACTCAAATTAAATTTTATTTGGCAAAATATTCAGGCTTAGTTGTAATTTAAAACACAATTCGCATTAATAATGAAGATATCGGGAAGCGTCTTGAATATTAAATGGTGCCGGCATAATGTCAGTGGCGCCTTCTGCCCCCACGATTCTATATGCCCACATGCTTCTGTCTGTCAGCTTCTGTCTCATGATCAACTCCTGCTGCGGCATTGATTGGGTTTCAGGAAGGAGAAAGGCGACCCAGGGTTTAAAGGGCTCTCACTTCCACCTGTCATGCATCGTCCACATGGTCTAACTTGCAAATAGCACGTGTGTTGTGTTGGATGAATCTCCCGCTGTTGCTCAGCTATTACGGTCTCCAGTGAAAAGAAAGAGAGTAACCGAGCTGTCCTCACGGTCACCTTGGAAATCTCCAAAAATGAAACTTGTTCCCTAGCCACTCACACAATCCATGGCACCCGGCATCTCATCCTAGGTCATCAGCGCTGGAGGGGCGGGGCAGGAAAGGGGTGGGGCTTGGACCGGGAGGGGTCTTCTGGGCGGGGTGAACTGAAGCCAAGAAAGGCAAAGGGAAAAAAAGCTTACTTAGTTTGCAACCAATAGAAGCTATGTATGCAAATCAAACCCCTGTCGCCCCGGTAACCGTGATGCACCTTGGCCAATGAGAGCCGAGAAGGCCCTAGCTGGGCTCCATGATTGGGGATGGGGAGGGGGATGAGGAGACCAATGGGCTGTAGAAACTGCCAGGGGCTGGCTACTGGGCGGGGGTATGCAGATGTAATTTGAAAAGCCGGCGGGAAATCCGAGTTTCGCGGGAGGACCTTGGCGCGTAAACCGTATCCCTTCATTCATTGTCAGCAGCAGCTTCCTGGAGCCATTTTTCAGCTGCCGGCCGCAGCACCGGGGCTGCCGCTGCCTCCTCGCAATCCGTTGCATCGGCCGCCCCCGCCGCCTCCATCCCCCCTCACGGTCCGATATCTGTGCTGCCGAGACCCTCCTCTCTCCGGAGCCCTGATTATTTTTGGCCCCCGGGGCCCGTGCATTGCGGAGAAATAAAAAGAAAAAAAGAGAGAGAAAGGGGGCTTGGAAGCGCCCCGGCGGGGAGGAGAGAAGGCGGAGGAGAGACCGGGAAACTCCGACTGAAAATAATAAAGAAATTGAAAAAAAACCATAAATAATTAGAGCAATAAAAAAGAACACGCGCAAGAGATGAGAAAGGGGATCCAACCCGCCCTGGAGCAGTTCCTGGTGACCGCCGGGGGTGGGGAGGGGGCGGCCGCCGTCGCCGCCGCCGCCGCTGCTGCAGCCTCCATGGACAAAAGGGCATTGCTGGCCAGCCCCGGCTTCCCCGCCACCGCCGCCCCCGGCACTTACATCCAGATCCTCACCACGAACAGTACCACCACCTCCTCCTCCTGTTCCTCCTCCCTTCAAAGTGGGGGTGCTGCCGCCGGCCCCCAGCACACTAACATCCCCGGCGTGGAGCAGACCGCCGGCAGCCTCCTCTACTCCACCCCGCACGGACCCTCCAGCCGAGCCGGGCTGCTGCAACAGCAACCAGCCTTAGGACGAGGCGGCGGTGGCGGCCCTCCGGTAATAACCCCCCTCCCCACCCCCATCCATCCTCCACCCCCACCAACTTTCCCAGGCCCAGATGGGATAGGCATATGGGCATGTGCAAGACTTGGGGTGGAGTGTGGGGGCATCTCTGCTCCCCCCGACCACCTAAAGTACTATGGCTTGGGGAGGTCTTCATTGTTGGGCTTCGACTCTTGCCCCAGAGGGGGCAGGGATTTACTGTTAAGGGCTTGGTCCCCCTGTACCCTCTACCCCACTCTTGGCTCCCACTGCCCGTGGAGCATCGTGGATCGCCTTTGCACCAACGACGTGAAACACGGGAAAACTTTTCGCGCCCCCTCCTCCCCAGATCTTTTCTGTCTTCACTTTTTTCCCTAACCCCTACCCTGCCCCCCCAAACCCGAAGCTTCCTCTTTCTCAGGGCGTCGGAAGAGGTCACGCCCCGGATGAAGAAGAAATTGGGGGGAAGGGAGCAGATAAATTGGGGGGGCTGTTGCAAGAGGAAAAACTAAGGGAGGTTTGGGACATTGACAAGACACTTGCCCAGCTCACACCACCCCTGTCGGGCCCTCGGGCCTGTAGCCCCATTTGTGACCAGTGGCTCCCGGAGCGGCCTGGAGTGGGGGGGGGGGGTCCTGGTGGAAGGTGGGGGGGGGAGCTGAATGCCAGGCACTCGCGGGCTTGGCTGTGTTGCGCTTTAGACATTTTGAGATCAGTAACTCCCTGCAACAAAGAAACTGGAGGAGGAGGAGGAGAGTCGAGGATTGGGGGAGGCGGCGAGGGAAGGATAGCGCCGTGTGGGGGTGGGGTGTGTGCGTTTTGGGGGCGGGGAGGAGGGGTGCTAGTGCAGCCGGCTAGGGCACATCGTGGCAGCACCCGCGTGGCCCAGCCGCCCCGGCCTTCTTGGTTGCGCCCTGGGCCTGCCCTTGACCCTGCCCCCCCTTCTCCTTGCCCCTTCCTTCCCCGCCCTGCCCCCCCTCCGCCTCCCTGGCTGCCGAGGGGGCGGGGGCACCGAGGTTCCCGTCCCGCCGGCCGCGGTCTGTCCCTCTCCCCGGGACCCGCCGGTGACGTTTCGCACACGTGCGCCGAGGACGCGCCTGTGACTGGGGAGGAGGAGGAGGCGGCGGCGGCGGCGGGAGGGGGCGCTGGTGGGGGAGAGGGGGCACCCACTTCCTCCTGCTGCTCCTGCTCCCCGGCCTGGGACAGTCAGGGATCCCCTCCCGCCTGCCCCGAACGCCGCCCCCGGCGCCCCGTGCCCTGCGCGCCCTGCTCGGCTTTCCGGGCCCCCCAGCCCCGGCAGCGCTCCGTGCCCCGCAGCCCCCGCAGCCGTCCGCGCGGCCGGGGCTGGTTCGGAAATGCCCCTCCAGCAGCAGGTCAGTGGCGGGCGAGGCCGGGGCAGCGCGCCGCCGGTGCCCCCCCTTCGGGGCTGGGCCGGAGCTCCAGGGGAGGAGGGTGAGCCGGGCTGGGGCTGGGGGAGGGAAAGCGCGTTGGGTGCGGGAGGGAAATGAGTAAGCAAGAAAAATCTAACTAACTCAATGCCCTGGCCTCCCATGGAGTATTCACCCGAAGGAAGGGGGTGGATGGGAACATAGTGTGGGCATTTTTTTTAAAGGGAGGGTGGGTACCCAATTGAAAAAAGGGGAGGGGGCTTCCCACGCGTGTTTAGCTCTTTAGTCTTATCGAGCTAGGAGTGTGTGTGTATGTGTGAGGTGCCCCGTGGTGTACCCTCCCCCAGTCTTTGCCCTGTATAAATGGTCTTTTGGAATGATGCTTTGGGGGTAGTAATTTAATCTGAATACTTTTAGAGAGCCTTACCTGTACCCTCAATCCCTTCCTTCACACCTCCCCTCCCCCATCTGGTGAGACACTGTAGGCCACTTTATATAGGGCATTCCTCACAACTGGCTGAAGTGGGTAGTGCACTGGATTATTATCTCCATTTTACAGATGAGAAAGCTTGGTCTCAGGGAAGTAAAAGTGACTTTACAAAGGTCACACACTTCCCAAGCATCAAAGCCATGACAGGAAACCTAAATCTTTAGCTACCCTTTCTGGAGAGATGATCAATAAAAACGTTGAAACCAATCCAACAATAATTTATTAAGTTCCTACTGTATGCCAGGCATTATGTTAGGTGCTGAAGATAAAAATGAAATGGTCCCTGCCCGTGCTCATCCCTCAACAGTTGGAGGGGATTGTTTGTTAACAGTACAATTTGTTAAGCTATTATAAGTAGGAAGTAGGGTTAGTTTTTGGATAGCTGTGGTCGGAAGGCGGAAAAGAGGGGAGAGGGATGTACGGTCTGATGGAAGAAGTATAGAATTGAGTTCTTGAGAATATGATCTATTTAGGAAGAAGTAAAGCACTGTGTACCCCTATAGTCCTTACTTTGTTTGGGGCTTGGAATATGGACTGCTTAAGAGTAAATAAAGTTGAAGATAACAAAGACAAATTAAAACAGTCCCTGCCTTCGAGAAGCTTGGGGGAAGGAGAATGAGGTGGGGGTGTGGAGAACAAAAGTGCAGAAATATATATATATGTATACAAATACATCACACACACACATACACATACATATATATGTGTATGTATAAAAAGTAATGGGGGGGTTGGCTTCACACTCCACATCTCAACAATTGGAGGGGGTTGTTGACTTCTATTTGTGAGCACATAGCTATTAGAAGTTGGAGGTTGGGTTAACATTTGGATAGCTGTGATTGGAGGGAAGAGAAAAGGGGAAAGATATGTAGGGTCCAATGGAAGAAGAGAGTGCTCAATTTTTTGGAATATGAGCTGTTTAGGAATAAATAAAGCTCTTTGTACCTCTGTAGCCCTTCCTACCTTTGGATTTTAACCTGTGTGCTGCCCAAAGATACAGGCAGTAAATGTTTAATGGAGTTAGTAGTCAAAAAAGAGGCTAACCATCTGTAGTGAGAGCCTTCCAGCAGGGGGTAATTGTGATATATCCCTAGTTTGTCTTGATTTTCTCCTGCACACCTGAGTATCCTATGCTTTTATGAGCAGCATTGTACCACTGACTTGACCAAAACATGCTTGTACATGTTTTAAGTTTATTTGCCCATGTATAATTCTGCCATTGTATTACAAATCTGACCTGTACCACCTAGGCACATACATGCTTCTTTTAGGTCTTGGTTGAGATTTGTATGATAGTGGGAAAATGTGAAAGCAGTAAGATGCTTTCTCTCCTGGTAACTAGTTAAGATAAAATCCAGATCTCTGCAGTGGTCTGGTTTAATTCATGAGAAACAACATGTTACAGTGGAAGAAGCTTTGGACTAGAAATCAGGACAACCAAGTCTGTCTTTAGCTGGCTGTATAATTCTCTAAGAATCTTGCTGATAGCCCTCTCATACCTCCCCAGAATAGAAAGAGAAGAATCAGAGTGCACAAAAGAAGAAATTTTGAAAACTATTTTTTAGGTAGCTACAACAGTGAATATATTTGTTTCTACTCCTAATTCTGGTTCCTAGTAGTTCTGAGGACTTGGAATCTTTAAAGAAATATTTGCTTCTTTCAGCTGGCCTGTAGAAGTGCCATATGGCACTGGAGTTGGGGTCAAGAAGACTTAGGTTCAAAATCAACGTCAGACGCTAGCTGTATGACCTCTCTGTGCCTCGGTGTCTTCAGCTGTAAAATAAGAGGATCAATCTAGGTGGCCTCCAAAATCCTTTCCTGCCCTAAATCTGTGAAACTATGTCAACTTGAAGGAGCCTGAGAAGCTTTTTATGCAAAAGATCTTCTTAAAAACATTTGTGTCAAAACGTGATAGCATTGTAAAGAGATTAATAATTATATCTAATTAGTCTTTTTTTTTTTTGGTTTTTTATAAACTGCCATCTTAGTGATGGGAGAAAAACGTTGAGTGTTATTGTAGGAATCTTTGTCGACAGGGATGATAGGTTGACCTCCTCAGGCTCTTTCTCTGCATCATTTTTGCCAGAAATGTTAACAGATCTGGGTAGAAACATTCACAGTTAATTCTCTGATTTCCTGGTGATTACTATAGAGAAACCTGTTCTGCCTTGCCTTCATAAGAATTAATCTCCTTCCCCCCCCCAATTTTGGTCATGTCAGGATCAGGCTGTAATCAAATAAGCTATTCTAGCTACAGACAGTGTGGATTTTCTGGGTTTGGTTAGTGAATGGATTGATGTGGAAAATTTTTAAAGAAAAATCACAACATCCATTTTGAATAATCAAGAAAAGAAGCCCCAACTCTATTCATCACCTCCAAAAAAATCAAATTGCTAAGGAGAAAATGAGATGGTTTTGCATTGTTAGAGTTTTGAGAATTTCACATGCCATGGACAAAGATCTGTCAACCCTGATGTAGTTTAATCTAGGGAAAGCAACCCACTTGTTATATGCTGCCGGTGGTGGTGGTGGGGACACCTTTCTTGAAGTTTCTGTGTTACAGCAGAAGAACCATAGGTGCTATTTCAGTGGGTTTTCCCCCCTGCTAGAAAATAAAAGAAAAATGTTGGGATCCTGTGGTTCTGTACTCAATAATCTTGTTTCTGCTGAGATATGTATGTGATGCCAAATTTAAGATTGGAGAGAAATTTTAGTCACTACACTCCCCAAAATGGAATATAATGCAGTGCCCAGGCTCTAGCAGCACCACTGTAATCATTACAAATGGCACCCCTGTAATCATCTTCTAAAACAAAGCACACTTTTAAATGCTTTAGTGTGGGCAAAAGAGGCTCAGCTTGTGTGCAGGAAACAATTGTTTGGTTTGGTTTTGTTTTTCTCTAAATCATCACCCTGAGTGGTATTTGCTCAGGAGTGGATGCTCACACTAATAACGTGCTGTGTAAAGCTAACCTGGGGAAGAAATTGTCCTGAGGTAGAGCTTTGTAAGTAATAGGACCTGAAGAAGAAATAGCTAGAAATTTTTACTTTAGTCACCCTGTCAAGGGATTTTAATTGGAGGCCTGTTTTCAGAGCGAGGCCAAAAAGTGCACCATTTATATGTTAAATGAGTGCCC